GAAATAATCAATTCTAAAAAACAAATGACTATATATAATAATAAAAGAAGAAAAGATCAGAAAAACTAAGATTGGCTTAGAATGAATTTTTTAAAAAATCAACAGTAACACCTATAGAAATCATCCAGGCATGTGAGAAGGGATATGAGGGCATAATATTGTCTGGAGGTGAGAAGACCAGGGTTGTGGTCCTGCTCTGGACAAATAAGTCATTTAATTGTTCTAAGTCTCAATTTCATTATCAGTAAAATTAAGAAAAGAAACATCTCTATCAACTTCAGAAGTCTGATGTGTGAAAAAATGACGGATATAAAATTGCAGTGCAAATGATTTTTTTTAAAAGATATCTAATCAAGATGCTCCCAAGTTAACACACTTCTATATCTTCCCATTGCTTTGAGAATAAAATTAGACTCCTTACCACAGCCTACGAGAACTTACATGATCTGATCCTGTTCACTGCTCCATCCTGTCTCCTGCTGCCCTCTCCCCTGACCACTAGGCTTCAGTGACCCTGTCATCCTTCCTTCCCAAGAAGGTGCCAGAGAAGCTCTTTCCCACCCTTGGTGCATTTGCACTTAGTGTTTCCTTTGCCTCAAAAATTCTTAAGTTCTTCCATGTGGTTGAATCCGTGTCCTCTTTCAGGTTTCAGTCCAAACCCCACCTCCTAAAAAAGCCCTTCCTTGCCATGTCTATTTAACATACTTCACACCTGCCCCTTGATCACATTCACTCCCTCTTATATGCACTTATTGCCTGTGCCTTCATCTGCCTTGTTCACTACTACCTCCCAACCACCTAGACCAGGACCTATATCCTGGCACCTTCAATAAGGTTGCCACTAAATATTTATTGAAAAATGCATAACCATGAATACATAGTACTAATAAATATAACCATCACTATTTATTGCTTGTAATCAAGTTTTGTTATTTATAGTCAGTGTCTCTACTCTTTACAACAAAGCTGTAAGTTGGGTATGACTATTTACTGGTAACTGATACTCAGATCAATGTTAAAGTGTAAGGTCACCCAGCTAGTAACTGGCAGAGATAGAATTTGAATCCAGGTGTCCTGACATCAAACAAATCACTATTCCATGCTGCCTCTCTGACACCTCCCATCACAATTAATTGATCTCTCCTTTAAACTCCAATATCATTTTTGACACTACTTATTTATCATGTTTTACAATATTAATTGAGGCATGCTGGTTTTTCACTCTAGTTTCTCAGCAAATTTATTACAGAGACAATGTCTTCTGAATCTCCACCTGTGTCTAACATCCCACTTGTCCACATCACTTAGCAAATATTTGCAGCTGCAAAAAATAATTGGAAGTACAGAATATATGAGTCAGGAGCATTATTATTTCCTTTACAAGAGCAGTGTGTTTATTGCAAAAATTTCATAAATTAATTCACCTCTTGAAATTAATAGAAAGAAAGGTATTGAGCCCAGTTCTGAACTTTTAATGAGGTGAAATTTAGTGTCCTGAAAATTTTTATTATCTGATGAGTATTTATGTTCTTCTAGAACAACTGATTAAATTTATGTCCCACAGAAACATTTAAACTAGTTTCAGTTAAGCTTACTTTTTCTTTTAATTTTTTGTTTTTAAAAGGTTGATAATAATTACACAGCTTTTCTATGAGTAATAAGGCCCGTTTCAGAGTGTGCTTTTTTGAGACTATTTTTATCAACTATTTTGTCAACAGAATTCTCAAGCCACCAACATAAAACATCTGTTGGCTAATAACCCACCCTGACTATGTAATTTAAGTAGCTTTACTACTCTAAGCAAAGGGTAATCCTTGTGACTAGGATTTACAAGTCACTTTCTGGCAGTTCCATAGTATCTAACAATAGTTTTGTGTATTTCTCTCCAACCACCACTTTGCAATTTATGCATTAATACTACAGTCATACTTCACTGATAATCTTCATTGCATAGACACACCCAAATATAATATTTCTTTTTGTTGGGATATCCTTTTAAACAATTCTCAATAAAAAATTAAGTGGTAGGATTTAAATTATAATCCTATAACATTTGTTATTCAATGGTATTGAAATACTTTAAATAATCATGCAACACAGAATAATTTTGAAAGGTAAAGATGCTTTATAATATGTATGTGTGTAAGATAGGAGTATTTATATAAGGATGATAAATATAATGATTAGGATATCATTTCATATTCTATCCATAAATGTCAGCAGTTAGAATATTGTGGGGATCTGATATACAGCATGGTGACTATTATCAGCAGTATTGTATTATATACTTGAAAGTTGCCGAGTGTGAATCTAAAATATTCTTAGCACATGTGCACACATACACACAAAAGGTAATTAGGTGAAGTAATCAATGTGTTAATTAACCTTACTGGGGTAATTTCTTCACAATATAGACATATGCTAAATCATCATGTGGTATACCTTAAACTTAACAATGTTATATGTCAATTATATCTCAATAAAACTGGAAAAAAAGAAATGGCAGGCAAAGAAGTGTGACATGAATGAATAAATAAATACATGAAAATAAAACTGATGGTAGCCAGAGGTAAGGGGATTGGGAAATGGATGAAATAGATGAAGAAGATTAAGAGGTACAATCTTCCAGTTATAAAATCAATAAGATGCGGAGATGTGATATACAACATAGGGAATATAGTCAGTAGTATTGTATAAATTTTGTATGGAGACAGATGGTCACTATACTTATCATGGCGATCATTTTGTAAGGTATAGAAATATCATCAAATCACTGTGTTGTACACCTGAAACTAATGTAACATTGTATATCAATTATACCTCAGTAAAGAAAAAACAAAAAACCCCTCAAACTTTCAAAATACTTTCCTGACTGACATCTCAGGAGTAATACAAATTGAAACAGGTCACTTATTTTAAATTAGAAAAAAATACATATGCATGATATATATTTTAGGTTTACACTCAGAGGATAGGGGCATGCTATTTTAAACAATACTAGTGTATCATTATTCCAAAGCATTTGGAAATCACTCTTCTTACAATTCTGGGAAATTGGAAAAAAAAGAATACCAATAATTACAATGTTTAAAAATCTTTAGTTACATCTATAAGGAAGAGTAAGTTAGCAATGGCACGGAATTTCTCTTCTATACTGGCTGAAATGCCTTCTCCAAGAACTAAAAGGCAAAGAAAGTTAGAGACAAGTACTTTACATCACCAACTACTCAGAATCCTTAGAATCTGTGGAGTCCAATAGAGACAAACATCTATTATACGTAGGTCCTCATCCTGATACTAGAATCAGTTTCTGAAAGTTAATCTGACATGAATTGTCTTATATTCTAGAATGCCTGGACATTTAGGGGTTATATGTTAAAAGAAACAACATTTGAAAAAAAAAATATGTGCGTGAGTACTCTCTTCTCTCTTGAAATTACTAGACGAACACTTCAAATATCAAATGGTTTGTTAGGGAATCGACAAGATCTCAAGTTCTTTCTGCCTTTCAAATACATATTTCTTTAATTCTTATCTGAATTAGCATAAATACAGCATTGTTAAAAAAACACAATATTTTGTAAACTTCTAAGACAAAGACTTCATGACCACAAAGTCCATTATTATACCCAAACAAGTCTGATTCTATAATTCTCTGAGAAAAGGTATAGCACTGTATTACTGATGACATAATTAAAATGAAACAGTAATAGAAAATTACATATTAGTTTCCTAAACTGAGTTTTGAGTGCAAACAGCTTATTCTAAAGAGCTCAGTGGTTTGTTTACTGAATTAATGTCACTTTACTTATCTGAAGGGATGAGAAATAATTTTATTCAAATTTGAAATACAGCTCATGAAAACTAGCTGTCAGACTGTAGTTTATTTTTAATACTCAGCTTGAGATTTCTATAAAATATATGGATAAAGGCTAAAACAGTGAAACCTTAAATTAAGAGCTATTTGCCTCTCAGCTACCAGAATTGATGACAATCTCAGGAAATTAGTCTGGTTGACTTGGCCTCCTTTGCTTTCATACTTGAAGGAGGAAACATAAGAAGCCCCTCCAGTTGTTTCAACTGGAAAAGTAAGGAAGTGTTCAGTTTATTTTCAGGTAAGAAGTCTGGTGCTATTGCTTCATGGTCCAGTCACTTGCTTCTTGATCTCTATGTTCTAAAACCTCTTGACATTGACAATGACACCAATTTAGCTACCTAATTCATGCAGTCTTGATGCTTAAAGAGTTCAACCATCTGAAGATGTAACTGGTCATGGCAAATATCTCCGCAGATTGTCTAAGCCTCGTGCACAAGGTATGCAAAGTCTATGTCATCTTTATCTGATTCCAGACCTACCAGCAACTGACCTTCCTTTTGTGCTGGAAACAAATGGTTTAGCCCAGAAAAGGGCCGAACAGACTGCTGGTATTCTTAGCCTGGGTAGAAGACCCAACCAAAGGAAAATCATTCCCTTCTAAAAACCAGTAAAAGTCTCAAGACTTCAGATATCCTTTTATGAAATTTCTCATTAACAGGAGTACTGTTAGGACCTTCTTAAACACATGGAAAATAGCAAACCAAACAGGAGATTACCAAAAAATTTTTGCAGTGATAAGCCACAGATGAGTTGCCAATTGTACATAATACCATTTATAAATAAAAATTATTGTTATTATACTTAAAAAGTCCTGGATATATACTATAGGTATACCTATCTGTGCAAATATATTTATTCAATTAGATATATAATTGAATTATTTCAGAGGATCAAGTTAACAGCAAGTATTGAGAAATTCAAATATATATCTATGCATACACACATACATATTATTTTTAAGAAAATCAAATTAAAAGCAATAAATGAAAAGTCATCATGAACTTTTGACCAACAAATCAAAAATAATAAGGAATGTTTATCACATGGACTTCATATTTCATATTTTGTCAAATGATATAGCAAATGAATATTTCCATGTAGGGCCATGTCGTATGTGTCATACCTTTTCATGGACTTTCTGACCAGGTTCCATCCCTTCAAGATGTTCTGATTCTGTGGACCCCTCACTTGATGCCATTTTTCTTTGTATATGAACATTTTGTTCACGTAAGGCAACAATCTGCAAAATAAAAGCACTATGCCTTAAAAATCTAAACTAGAGAGTAAAGTATAGAAAAATTGAATTTACTCAAATGTGGTTAAGAACTAATAAATACAAACAAATAATCAGAAAATAAACATTAATATAACTCATGTTATTACTTAAAAATATTTTTAACATTTAGGTTAGCATTTTGAATAATAATTACATGAATATGAAATTTACTGAAGAAAATATTCTCTAGTTAAAAATGTATCTATATAGTTGGAAATGTGTCTAAATTAATGCCATAATCCATGTGTTATTAATTCAGAAATTACTTTTAAAATTAATTTATGAAATGTGATAAAATTCATAGGGGTCTATATTTTTAAAGTATAACAGAAAGATAAATGAAAGCATTGCAGGCTGAAGGCTAGTTATGAGCACATTCATTCACCCTAAGAGGTAGGATACCTGTAATTTTAAAATAAGCAAATAACATAAACTAGAATTAATTTTGTGGCACTATCATGAGTACTTAGAATGAAATTAGTTTCATTATCATTATTTTTTTTCATTACCATTATTTTAGTGACCATTATCTTAGTGCTGCTAGTTCAACTATAGTTAATTTGCAGAAGACTTCTCAAAAAGTAATTAATTCTTGAAAATTTTCAGCTCAACTTTACAGACATAATATTTTCAACAAGAAAGATTCTCAGATAGTTGTAGTTTCAGTAATCTTAGTAATAAACAGAGGAAAAAATAGCATTCTAACATTTTTAAATGGTGTCTTAAAATATAGTTGCTATTTACACATATTTTTTTAAAGTATTTTACATTAATACCATAACTTATTTATTTCCTGGCAAATCTTATTATATTTATCAACTCAGATATTGAGTTAGTATCGGTTCTTGGGGAAATCAATGCCCCTAGTATTTAATACACAATAAATAGTCAATCACATATGAGACCAGTAGGTCACATAGACCAATAATCACCAGATAAACATAAAATGTCAAGAAGTTGGGTGGTTGTCCCCATCCCTGCCACTGCTTCAATGCCCAGATGCACAATGCTGTGTTCATGAGATCAGGTATCTTGTATATAACCTCCAGCATTTGGACGTACAGCATATCCTTTTGTAAGGGCCTATCACCAAATAATGAAGAACAACTCTGTAAATGCTCTTCTTTTTGAACTTCAATCAGCAAACAACTGGTTCCCTTGCTCTCAGTCTTGCCCATCTACAAGCTATCATCCACAAAGAAGCCAGATTCACCTTTGAAACTTAATAATAATAATAATAATAATATATATATTATTTATATATATATAAATAATAATAATAATAATAATAATAATAAAAAATAATAAAAAGTCAAAACACCAAATTCATATGGAAAACACTGTATGCAAATATAATTGTGCTGCTATGTTAAAAAAATGACAAACTTCAAGTGTTTTACAAAGTATACACATGACAGTTCTAAGAAAGACATTACAACCAACATACAAATTCTATCTTTTTTGTTGTTGTTTTTAATTAAGCCCCAAAATTAGGTTTTTGAAACAGAATAGATGTAGCATCCTCTATATTCCTTATCACTGTTAAATGATTTTATTCTGTTCTATTTTTGCCCAATAACAAATTATCCTGAGGAGTTATGAAAGCAAAGCTTCAGCATATGTTTTAATTCTAGGCGTTAATAATCTCGATTCTTTCTTTCACAGGGGAAAACGTGAGAGGTTCTCTCCTGAGAATGCAATGTTGGGGGTTGGGCCTCTTTAATGTGTTCAAAGGGCAGAGAAGTTCACCTAGAAATCACAGGGTCTCTAGGTAGCAGAGGCCTCTTTAGGAAATTCTCCCAACTGGCTTAAGAAGCAAATGCAGGAGATGGCTGAGAGCTAGCTGGTAAGCACAAGCAGAATGAAAAGAAGCTGATGGACCCCAAACATTCTTTGGGCTCTCACTGGCAGGGAATGCTGTTGAAGGGAGGGGACAGTGACTTGTCTAGTATACCAAAGTAGTCCTGGATCCCTCATTGCTAAAGAGCATGACCTACTACAAATGAGATGGCATGGCAGGTAGGAGGAATCACTTCTGGGTAGTCTCTGTGGCTTACCCAGTTGTTACATAACTCCGAGAAAGTACTGGAGACTCACCATGTGCCAAGCACTGTGCTAAACTGTTTTAATCTACAAATAGTTTTTATGATCCACACTTAACAAGTGATTAAACGGAGATAAACAGAGTGTGATGAGAACTAAGTAGGAATCAAATAAAAGTTAACTCCTATCTTGATACTTTCTACTTTCTGTCAAATTCCCTCACATGGCTTAAGTCAGGGGAAGTTCATAGTGGATGGGGATGGGGACAAAGCATTTCCTTTCCAAGTATTTCTACCTTCCCACCCTGGAATCCTTTGTATATCATTAAGGTATGGACCCCTCCCTGGAGAGATTCACATCCAGGCAAAATTGTGCCTACATTTTCAGTTTATCAATCCACTGAAGGCCCATAGAACTCTGGTCAAGGGGAACTGCCCACAGTCATTTTAATTGATCAACCATGATTTATCAACTGTTTGTTGACATTTCTTTTTAAATGCCCAGTATCCCTTCAATATTACTTTTGTAAACAACATCCTACATTTTCACTGTGGAATTTTCCTTCCCTACTCTAGAGACTGTCAGTCGGGGTCAGAGCTTAAGGCAAACGGATGGATACATGATCCAAGCCAGAGAAATCAGAATACTCCTTGAGATGTTTGTGGCAGAGGTATGGGGGAAGATTCGTTTTCTACTATGGGGGTTAAGCTGGTAGGATATAATCAGGATGGCTGTTGACCATCAGTTCTAGCTCATGGAGAAAAGCACAAGAAAAAGATAGAGCCCTGATGAATCACATCTGCTCCTAATTCTAACCATTCTTAAATCATCTCTACCCCTGGCCTTTCATTAATATGAGCCCCAAATTTCTCATTTTTGCTCAAACTTGCTTTTCTGTCATTTATAACTAAAAGTGTCCTTGAAAATATAACCAGGGACATGGAAGGTAACACAGAGCATGGAATTTCTAAATGGAGATTTTGAAAAATAGCTAAGAATTTACCCGTTGGGGACAATGGGAGAAAACTGTTCAGGTGGATAGAAGAACAGGAACTCTTTGTGTTCTTAGTACTACAGGCTGTTTAATATTCCTGGGGCAGACACTATCTGGATGAAGATAGAAGAACAACAGGAGACTAAAAAAACTGAAGTACCTCAACTAAAACTCTGGCATCTGTGTGCTTTTTGCTCTCTGGCTTATTGCTTCTCCTCAACCCTTATTTGTGTTTCCTGATTGCTCACCTAGCTTCTGAGAGCCTGACCGATTGTGTCTAGACATTTCCAAACCCATGATATTTCCAAGCCTATCTTCCAAGTTTTGTTCTTGACTTTGCCTCTGTCAAATTTTTTTTGGCTCCTGGATGGGGGCTGGTCACCAGAAGGACCAAGCCATGATTAGAAGCTTGCAATTTTCAACTCTACCCTGATTCTCCAGAAAGGGGAGAGGGCTTGGAGTTAATGACTGATCGTGCCTAAGTGGTGAAACTTCCATAAAGATCCCAAAGTATGGGGGTCAGGGAATTTCCGGGTTGGTGAATATAACATATCCATGTGCTAGGAGAGTGACATATCCCAACTCCACAGGGACAGAAACTCCTGGGCTTGGGACCCTCCCAGACCTTGCCCTGTTTCTCTTCATCTGGATGTTCATCTGTATCCTTTAATAAACTGGTAAATGTAACTGTTTTCCTGAGTTCTTTGAGCTGCTCTAGCAAATTAGTAGAATCCAAAGAGGGGGTAATGGGAACCTCTGATTTACAGCGAATCAGTCAGGAACACAGGTGACAACTTTTATTTACAACTGACATCTGAGCTGGATGGGGGGATGGGGTAATTGGGTGATGGGCATTAAGGAGGGCACATGACCTGATGAGCACTGGGTGTTATACGCAACTAATGAATCATTGAACATCACATCAAAAACTAATGATGTATTATATGTTGGCTAACTGAATTTAAATTAAAAAAAGTAAAAAAAAATTGACATCTGAAGTGGAAGGGAGTAGACACGTGGGACTGAGCCTTTAACATGTGGGATCTGACACTATCTCCAGGAAGTGTCAGAATTAAGCTAAATTGTAGGACACCCAGTGGTGTCTCAGAGAATGTTTTGTGGAAGAATGCTCCCCTCCCACCCATGCACACACACATCTGGAGTCAGAAGTGCTGTAAATGTGGTAGTTATGTGAGAGTAAAGGAGAACCACAGGAGGTAGACTGGGGTTTTCCTCTACACCCCTTCCTCCTTCTTGACTGGTTCTGAATCACCTTTTGGGTCTTTGCTTATATGTCACCCACTCTAAGATGGGTTCTGGGACCATCCTCCTCCCAGGGATTAAAGTTATATAATTCCTTAGCATTCTCCAATAACTGTTGTTATACAAATTATCACTCTTTATCACAATTAGCTGTTATTTTCTGACTGCCCATTTTGCCACTGAGTGCCTCAAGACCAGAAACTCTATCTGGTTATTTATTCCCAGTTCTTAAGACACCGGTTAACAAGTAGGAGGCACTCTAGAAATACTTACTGAATGTTGCATGAAAACACACTATATGAATGGAAAAGACTGATAGGGAGTTGGAAAAATTGGATGGAAAAGTTCTTGAAAATTTATACATGGAGAAGAAAATTAGTCATTCATGTGGAAGACTGCGTGAGCTTGAAATCTTTCCAATGTTCATACATGATTCAAGATTAGCAAGGAGCCCTGAGACTGGAAGAACTCATTGAGAAAATAAAGGAAGAATGAGAAGTACTGACCTAGTGTTATAGGATATTCACAGCTCAAATGTAAGGAGGCAGACAGGGCAGAAGGCACAGGCAAATATAAAGGGGGATAGGAATGGGATCATGGGAGTCCAGCTTAATGAAAGTTAACCAGACCTTTGTGTCTCATCGTGTCTTAAAATATTACAAAA